GTAGAAGCTTCTTATGAATGATATCGATGAGTATGAATAGGAACTCAGTTCTCTGAGAAGTATACTACATGCCACTCGAACAATCTGGTTTGTACACAAATTTCTGTCGATCTTTTCCTCAATCTAAAACATCGTGGTAATGTTTTCAGTACGGATGTGCATAACTCTATGTTTTCAAAAGCATTGATAGATTTTTTGGTGCTTCAGAAGATATTAACGTATTATCTAAAGATGAAACTTGAGACGGTCACAGAAATATAATCGGACAAGCGGTATTTTGATGACACTAGAAAAAGCTGCTAGCTCAATCTTTGCAGGAGTAAAATGTGAAAGGTGACATAGTTTTATTGCTAATCACATGAAAACCTTTTTATTTGATTTATTTTGAGACACATTCCTTCACCATTCTTTAATTCATTCTCTACAATGGCAAAGAAGTAGTTCATATGTTCTAATAGGATTGCAGTTTTATACGGTCTTTTGTCGCGTATCAACATAGTCTGTCGCAGTCTGTAGCGAAGAGAAGGAAAACCATTGGGTCTGTCACGGTCTGTGATGACGTGCCAGAGTATCTGCATTGGTTTAGAGGGACAGTGGGGACAATGTGGCTCAATTTTTTTTCCTATATTATTCAACACCGTGTTTAGGTTACGTTTCACAAAATAAATCATCCATACAAGACACGGCACATAAGCACATCATTTTTTTATGACTATATAATCTCATAAGTCGGCGTTTACAAGAGCAATTTTTGTGAAAACAGCAATATGCAGTACAAAATAATTTCTTCGGAAATTTTACGTGAAAGTCACATTAGAAGATCATCCTAGAGAGTTTTTACGCTGGGACATATTAGAAGACCCGGAATCTTCGAATGCGATAGAAAGTTAGTTATAATCCAAGTTCTTGCCTTTTTTAATTCTTTTCCATTTTTCTCAATTATCCATGTTGTCGACACAGGTTTAACTTCTACACTATTCCAGACTAACTCCCAGCCAAGTATCCCACCCGTGCCACCATGTCTAGGTTCCATTTAGATCTACTTGCAACACCTATTATGTATCTGAATAGATATTGAATTTTTGTACTCGATAATTTCCCCAATCGACGACATAGAGATTCCCGTGTCGATCGAATGACAAACCGATGGGCTCATTGAGTTGGTTCGATTGTTCTCCACTACCGTTTCCACCAACAACGACACTTCCTTGTGTGGCTCCTTTAGGCCAACGCATGATTCGATTATTCCATCGATCAGCCACATAGACAGTGCCCAATTGATCGACAACGACTCCTTGAGGACAAGACAATTGTGTAAGATCATTTCCTTGTCCTTGACCACCAGCCACGACAATGCCTTGTTTTGCACCTTCCATCCATTTCATCACAGGATGATTTCCCCATTCAGATACGTACACTGAATGATCTCGATCGACGAATACGTACGAGGGGCAAGAGAGTTGATCGAGACGATTTCCACTTCCATTGCCACCTGCAACCACTGTTCCTTGAGATTCTCCTCTTCGATATCGTCTCACTTCATTTTTTCCAACATCAGTGACATAGAGAGATCCATTCTCGTCCATTGTCAAACCCCAACAATCGATGTTGGAGATGATTGTTTCTCCACTTGTCCCATTTCGACGAGGCCATCAAACCACTCTTCTATTCGAATAATCGCATATGATGAGACTATCTCTCTCTTTGTCGATAATCACATCATATGGGCTAGACAATTGATGATCTCCACTTCCTTTTCCATTTCCACCGACAACCACTTGGCCACTTCTTGCACCTCGTTTCCATTCCACAATACGGTGATTCGTTCGATCAGCAACATAGATTGTTTGATCATCATCAACATACAAACCCAATGGGTCTGAGAGTTGATTGATTCCATTGCCTTGTCGATTTCCTCCAGCCACAGTGATACCATTTTGTTGCCATCGAGCATTCAGATGAATGTCAGTCGATAGTACGGATACTGGTACAACACAAGAGAATTTTGGAGTGTGAGTGAATATTGATTTCATTGAATTGAGTGTAGCACTTCTCTTAAATAGAACATAGCGAACTTTTGATAAGTCTTAATTTACGCTAGGACTTAATCAAATTTTTTTACGACTATAATTACTGTTGAGTTTGGGTGCGAATGTGCATAAGAGCTTACCAAGGAGAAAATAGTGAATTTCGAACTTGACCGCACCAATTGACTAGGCTTGACTTTATTTGACACCAGAAGATTCAATCACACTAAAAGACTTGCGAAATTACATGGAGTCTTGAAGTGTCAAAGAATTTTTCTCTGAGTCAAAAGTTTGTCAGAATCAAAAAAAAGGTACACTGAATCAACTGGAGCATAAAGACAATTAAAATTGTCAGTGTTTGCATTTTTTTGTGGATGTACGAAGATGTTGATATATAAACTTTCTTTCTCTTCTATGTTCAAATTGAAATGTAAATATATATGTACTATAACAGCAAAGATAAAAAACATTAGAGAGAAATAAAAACCATATGAGTACACTATAGTATCACATTAGAGAAGATGCAAATCGCACTATCTAAAAAAAAGATTCTTCATCATACAAAAAATCTAAATTCTAATTGTCTGAGAAGGTCGAGTATTACATGGTATTAAAGATAGTGTGGCAGTTTAGAATTCACTTTGTAAGGAGAAACTCACTGTTATTGAAGAAAACTGGCAAAAAAAATCGGTAAAAAATATAGAAAAAAAGTGATCAGATCGAGCTGAAAATTCCCGTGCATACTTAACTAATTACTCTCCACAATATATAAAAGATATCAATGAATTGTAAAATTTCACTCTATCGTCTGAATTTGTTCGAGAATTTTTTCTTAGTGATGAAGCTGAGCCTGATGCATTTAAACGAAGTACCTTTTTTCCCTCTTACATCTCTTGTATATGCCATCGTTGGTGTACCACTAATGTGTTGCCTATTTGTGTGATCAACTGATAATGATGCCGATGGCAATGGAAGTATGTGGAAGCAGTTACTGATATTAAGCTGCTTGATATCGACAATGAAGCAATAGATGGTGAGTATGTATTCGTTGATGCTCTTAATGATTTATCATGATTGTTTATCTTTTCTATCTCT